TTCAAGGGTAGTTTGCAGATGAGCATTTGTTAAGCTCTTCAAGGGTAGTTCGCATATGCGGGTTTGTTAAGCTCTTCAAGGGTAGTATGCAGATGAGGGTTTGTTAAGCTCTTCAAGGGCAGTTTGCAGGTGGGGGTTTGTTAAACTCTTTAAAGGTAGTTTGCAGGTGGGGGTTTGTTAAGCACTTCAAAGGTAGTTTGCAGATGAGGGTTTGTTAAGCTCTTCAAGGGTAGTTTGCAGATGAGCATTTGTTAAGCTCTTCAAGGGTAGTTTGCAGATGAGCGTTTGTTAAGCTCTTCAAGGGTAGTTTGCAGATGAGGGTTTGTTAAGCTCTTCAAGGATAGTTTGCAGATGAGGGTTTGTTAAGCTCTTCAAGGGTAGTTTGCAGATGAGGGTTTGTTAAGCACTTCAAGGGTAGTTTGCAGATGAGCATTTGTTAAGCTCTTCAAGGATAGTTTGCAGATGAGGGTTTGTTAAGCTCTTCAAGGGTAGTTCGCATATGAGGGTTTGTTAAGCTCTTCAAGGGTAGTTTGCAGATGAGGGTTTGTTAAGATCTTCAAGGCTAGTTTGCAGATGAGGGTTTGTTTAACTCTTCAAGGGCAGTTTGCAGATGAGGGTTTGTTAAGCTCTTCAAGGGTGGTTTGCAGATGAGGGTTTGTTAAGCTCTTCAAGGGTAGTTTGCAGATGAGGGTTTGTTAAGCTCTTCAAGGGTAGTTTGCAGATGAGGGTTTGTTAAGCTCTTCAAGGCTAGTTTGCAGATGAGGGTTTGTTAAGCTCTCCAAGGGTAGTTTGCAGGTGAGGATTTGTTAAGCTCAGCAAGGGTAGTTTGCAGATGAGGGTTTGTTAAGCTCTTCAAGGGCAGTTTGCAGATGAGGGTTTGTTAAGCTATTCAAGGATAGTTTGCAGATGAGGGTTGTTAAGCTCTTCAAGGGCAGTTTGCAGATGAGGGTTTGTTAAGCTCTTCAAGGATAGTTTGCAGATGAGGGTTGTTAAGCTCTTCAAGGATAATTTGCAGATGATGCTTTGTTAAGCTCTTCAAGGGTAGTTTACAGATGAGGGTTTGTTAAGCTCTTCAAGGGTAGTTTGCAGATGAGGGTTTGTTAAGCTCTTCAAGGATAGTTTGCATATTAGGGTTTGTTAAACTCTTCAAGGGTAGTTTGCAGATGAGGGTTTGTTAAGCTCTTCAAGGGTAGTTTGCAGGTGAAGATTTGTTAAGTCAGCAAGGGTAGTTTGCAGATGAGGGTTTGTTAAGCTCTTCAAGGATAGTTTGCAGATGAGGGTTGTTAAGCTCTTCAAGGATAGTTTGCAGATGGGCGTTTGTTGTGCTCTTCAAGGGTAGTTTGCAGATGAGGGTTTGTTAAGCTCTTCAAGAATAGTTTGCAGATGAGAGTTTGTTAAGCTCTTCAAGGATAGTTTGCAGATGAAGGTTTGTTAAGCTCTTCAAGGATAGTTTGCAGATGAGGGTTTGTTAAAGTCCTCAAGGATAGTTTGCAGATGAGGGTTTGTTAAGCTCTTCAAGGGTAGTTTGCAGATGGTGGTTTGTTAAGCTCTTCAAGGGTAGTTTGCAGATGAGGGTTTGTTAAGCTCAGCAAGGGTAGTTTGCAGATGAGGGTTTGTTAAGCTCTTCAAGGGCAGTTTGTAGATGAGGGTTTGTTAAGGTCCTCAAGGATAGTTTGCAGATGAGAGTTTGTTAAGCTCTTCAAGGGCAGTTTGTAGATGAGGGTTTGTTAAACTCTTCAAGGGTAGTTTGCAAATGAGGGTTTGTTAAGCTCAGCAAGGGTAGTTTGCAGATGAGGGTTTGTTAAGCTCTTCAAGGGCAGTTTGTAGATGAGGGTTTGTTAAGCTCTTCAAGGGCAGTTTGTAGATGAGGGTTTGTTGAGATCTTCAAGGGTAGTTTGCAAATGAGGGTTTGTTAAGCTCTTCAAGGGTAGTTTGTAGATGAGGGTTTGTTAAGCTCTTTAAGGGTAGTTTGCAGATGGGGGTTTGTTAAGTTCTTCAAGGGTAGTTTGCAGATGAGGGTTTGTTAAGCTCTTCAAGGGTAGTTTGCAGATGAGGGTTTGTTAAGCTCTTCAAGGGTAGTTTGCATATGAGGGTTTGTTAAGCTCTTCAAGGGTAGTTTGCAGATGAGGGTTTGTTAAGGTCCTCAAGGATAGTTTGCAGATGAGGGTTTGTTAAGCTCTTCAAGGGTAGTTTGCAGATTAGGGTTTGTTAAGCTCTTCAAGGGTAGTTTGCAGATGAGGGTTTGTTAAGCTCTTCAAGGGTAGTTTGCATATGAGGGTTTGTTAAGCTCTTCAAGGGTAGTTTGCAGATGAGGGTTTGTTAAGGTCCTCAAGGATAGTTTGCAGATGGGGGTTTGTTAAGCTCTTCAAGGGTAGTTTGCAGATGAGGGTTTGATAAGCTCTTCAAGGATAGTTTGCAGATGAGGGTTTGTTAAGCTCTTCAAGGGTAGTTTGCTGATGAGGGTTTGTTGAGCTCTTCAAGGGTAGTTTGCAGATGAACTGTTACTGGTTAGAATTCCATGGGTACAGGAACATGACATAATAGATTATTAAAAACATACCTTGAGTATATTTTTCACTGTTGGATCAGCTCTTAGTATAAGGCTAGCATTAGGTTGGGTTGGAGGAGTGTCTGTAGACTTAGTCTTCTGTGTTTCCTGAGTTCTGAAATACAAGTTGAATAAATTATCAACCAACTGCAAGCAAAGATTCTATAGATACAGAGAAACCGCAAGAGTGCATGAAAATTACCGTATTACCAATAAAAGCAATGTATTCATAAACATATATCACAGTGAACACATCATACCAGGACACAAGAATGTATTCATAAACATATATCACAGTGAACACAACATACCAGTACACAAGAAGGTATTCATAAACATATACACATGTATCACAGTGAACACAACATAACAGGACACAAGAAGGTATTCATAAACATTTTATCAAAGTGATATTTAAGTATAAGACTTGTACCTTTTTGCATGGATCTTTCTGACCTGTACGTCACTCATCAAGCCATGTTTCACCAACTCTTGGAGAAGATATTGTAAGCTGTCACAGCTACAAATTAAAAAAAAGTTAAAAACAATTCTTAGATATAGCAAGACCTCACTGCCGATAGCTAATATACACAGAACATTTTTTATTTTCACTGCGAACAATTTTGAGAATTTTATGGCATTCATGAAGACAACATGTTTCAAAAGTCACCAACACTCCGTGTTGTAGAACCCAGAGACATTGTAAATGCTACAGAATTGTCAATTGTTATTTTCACTAAATTTATCTCTGAGGCAGTTTACAGTATATTATAAAGAAGCTAATTCATTATAATAAACTTCAGAAGAGTATGATACATACTGTGACTTGGTATCGGCAGCATCCAGCAAAGGAACAAACCTCAGCAACTGCTCAAAAGATTGGTTTAATATTTCACTATTATCCTGCTTACTACCATCAGATGGTGGCAATGATTGTAACCTCATTAATATTTGGGGTAGCTGTGAAATGAGACAGAATAATCATCTTGTATTAGAAAAGATGGTTTACACCATTAATGTGACACATTATAGTTTATGTTAGTTTGTAGGTATGTTATTACCACATAACTGAACTGAGTGTGGGCATGGACATCTATTCAAAATGAACAAACATTCTACAATGTATGTGTAGTTTATGTTAGTATGGAGGTATGTAATCAACACATAACTGAACTGAGTCAGGTCATGGGCATCCATTCAAAATGAACAAACATTCTACAATGTATATGTAGTTTATGTTAGTATGGAGGTATGTAATCAACACATAACTGAACTGGGTCAGGTCATGGACATCCATTCCAAATGAACAAACATTCTACAATGTATGTGTAGTTTATGTTAGTATGGAGGTATGTAATCAACACATAACTGAACTGGGTCAGGTCATGGACATCCATTCCAAATGAACAAACATTCTACAATGTATGTGTAGTTTATGTTAGTATGGAGGTATGTAATCAACACATAACTGAACTGAGTCACGTCATGGACATCCATTCCAAATGAACAAACATTCTACAATGTATGTGTAGTTTATGTTAGTATGGAGGTATGTAATCAACACATAACTGAACTGGGTCAGGTCATGGACATCCATTCCAAATGAACAAACATTCTACAATGTATGTGTAGTTTATGTTAGTATGGAGGTATGTAATCAACACATAACTCAACTGAGTCAGGTCATGGACATCCATTCCAAATGAACTAACATTCTACAATGTATGTGTAGTTTATGTTAGTGCGTTGGTATGTCCATTTCAACAAAAAATTGAATTCAAAGATTGTTAACACTAACCTTGAGATAAGTAAATGAGGCCCATTTCAATTCATCAGAGCTACCAGCAGCATCCACCACACCAATCAGACTGGCCCTCATCAACTCTAAATACACAGTAGCTCTGTGTAATTTCTAGCATAACAAATCACAAAAATAGCAGTTTAAGTTTTAAACAAGTGACATGACATTTGAAATAGTTCAGCTGTTTCAGTAGAGCTGTGAGTGTTACCTAATGTCACAGAAATAACTAATCTAATAAATAGAGGTCTATCCAAGATACATACGATGTAGTCATATATCAAAGTAAATGGAGTAGCAGATTTAAAGAATAACATTTTGACCAAAAGTGACAAAAATATTTGCTAAAAATAAAGAATTGAAGATAACATCACAAAATAAACAAGTCTGACAGAAGTTCATTCAGAGTACCTACATACAAAGTATCAAAGATATTGATCTGGTAGTTTTCAGGAAGAAGTCGAACAATGCTATTGTTGACAATGATGGACAATCTTCAATGACAGTGAAAACCAAACTAAACAGCAAGTAGAAGAGATTATTCATTGCCAATTGACAGAGGGAAGGTACCCATAGCAATTGAAAATGTGTGATTGTTCTATTTTAATTTATGCAGCAGACTGAATGCACACACATACAATACACATATTGTCTAAAGGACAGTCTGAGGGTGGTGAATTTGGTGACTTTACTGACTAAAGGACAGTCTGAAGGTGGTGAATTTGGTGGCTTTACTGGCTAAAGG